GTATACCACAGTCATCCCGTCTCGCAGGCAACAGCGCGATCCCCGGGTGTAACCCCGCGCAACTGCCCGAAGCCGCACCCATAGCACCCATTTGCCGACACCGCGCTCACGTCCACAGCCCACTCAACTGGTCTCAGCCTGTCAAGATTAATCTGTCACGCGGTCTGCCCACCTCCGCCTCGTCATCGCGCACCTGCTACCCCAGGTTTCCTGCGACCAAACCATACTTAGCGTCTGCCTTCCTTGGAAGATATCCTCCTGTGCCTTCACGCGTCCCCAGCGGCCTGTCACGATCCACGAGCACCATTCGCGATTCGTCACAACCCTAGCTCAAGATCTAAAGAGGGGCTAGCACCGTAGGATTTGACGCAGGTGTGCAGCTAAGCCGCAAAACTTGCAAGGCTTACCGTCTCCTGCAACGTGTCAAGGAACACATCATCCAGCCCGTTGTGCGATCCGCGAGACCCAAGTAATTACCAGGACGCCAGCAACCGCTGCAGGTAGCCAAATATGTCGGACTCCCCCCAATCTGCTTCGAAGGATGTCGACCAAGGTGTACCGTCACCCGACGAGGAAGGACAAATGAACGACCCCCAAGACCCACACTCTGGCGGGCTCACCTATGAGTTTGAGGTAAAAGAGCAAGACAGGTGGTTGCCCATAGCCAATGGTAAGTCTTCTGTCCCTGGTCTCCACGCGAGATGTGTATAGCTCTGGACAGCGCCAAACCAAGCATACCCATCTTTGCTGCCTTCCGTTCCTGTGAACGATCGATTCGAGTATCACTCTTTTCGCCACTTTTTTGAGCCCTTGGCCGGCTTTCGGCTCATCCCACGAGTAGCAAGAGGCTAGCCAGCGGCTCACGTCGGACTTGCCCATGTCTCGCGATTCGCCTCTCCAACTGCCGGATGCGCCGTGCATTTCTAGGAACGACGACGAGCGCTATGAGGAACTTGATGCTAATATTCGTAACTTTGCACCAGTCGCCCGAATCATGAAGAACGCTCTGCCTGAAAATGCCAAAATCGCAAAAGAGGCCAAAGAATGCATGCAAGAGTGTGTCAGCGAGTTCATCTCCTTCATCACCAGCGAAGGTAGGTCCTGCTTCTCTACCGGTGGCATGCAAAACAGACGACTGACCGATTACCCAGCTTCCGAGAAGTGTCACCAGGAGAAACGCAAGACAGTCAATGGTGAGGACATTTTGTTTGCCATGACATCGCTCGGCTTTGAAAATTATGCCGAGGCGCTCAAAATCTATCTCTCGAAGTATCGCGAAGTAAGTTTCAACGTGTGTTCCCGCCGATTTGTGACGTGCTAATCGATAAAAGCAACAATCTCAGACAAACAGAGGCGAGGGTGGACAGGGTGCACGCCCTAACAGTGCCTATGGCGGCCAGCCTCCCACAGGTGCTGGCAGCTTCCAGGCTGAGGCTTCCGGTAACATTTTGGGCGCGCAACCCGGAGAAGGCGGTGCGGATGCCTCAAACTACATGTATCCTCCGCAGTCCGGCCACAATGGTGCTGGAGCTGGCGAGAGCTACTAAGCTGTCTTTGTGTGGGGGTTTGTCAATGCTTGTGGACTATGAAGTCGGGTAAAATCAGTCCTTGACATGTGTCTGACTGTGTACAAGTGAACGGGGCAGCGAATGCTATCATGAGATATGTGCAACAGGCGTGTTTGGGGGATAGAAGCTATTCAGTGTGACACGGCGATGTCAACAATCAGGAGCAGTAGTGAGACGCTCGGTTGTGACAAGCGCAGAGACGCATTTGACAGACGTACATATGCTGGCTGGAGTTCCTAATCATCAGACATGTCTAAACAGGTCAAACGGCCCAGGTCGGGCATCACTTCCTCAGTCAAAACCTAGGCGCCTCGCTTCAACGGCATCTGATCACCTGCCAACGATATACCTTGCTCGGGCTATTCAGGAATGATTTCGTCAGAGGCTGAACAAACCACCAGTCTCGCACCTTGATATGGTAGTCCCGCCCATCCAGCTAATCTTAAGAGGCGGTACGACATGCATGAATGGCAAAATTCGTGCAAACCCCAATTTTTACTCTTTTTCAATTTGCTGGGGGGACGAGGGGGGCTGGCTCTCATGGAGATTGCGACGGCAATGTCTATATGAGAAGAAAAGGCCATCTTTGGTTCAAACGAGTCCTGACCTGACACCGGCGGATAGAATACCGATGTCAGAGAC